AGTAAGTAGAAAATTTCAACTATAAATTCCTTGTTAAAAACTTCAAGAAATAAATTAAAAATATTTCCTTCAATAAATAAATTTATTTAACTACAACACACTACTCTTTCTTTTAAACAGACAAATTGTTATAATTTTGGCGTTTTTTGAATGTTTTTGGTCTCAAATTAGTTTAAAACCTCAAATGATGAAATAAATTAAAAACTAACTAACACGTGGAATTACTAATTATCATAACTGATGTTGAAGAAATGATTTAAAGAGCAACGTGAATGTGATGTAAATATTTGGATGTAAGATAATAACCCTCATAGTTTGAATTTTTATACGTCAGAAATAGTTAGGAACAGTCAATTTTAAGAACATTTTAGTAATTAATGATTTTTTTTCGATATTTGTCCATTATTGAATTCACTTGAGTTTGTTATTTGAAGAAGTCAAATGCGCAGATTAATACAGCTTAACAGAGAATTAAACGTTTTATTTATTCAAACTACACAAAAATTGTTATGGTTTTATTTTAAAAATTTAGAAAAAAATAAACTTAAGATCATTCACCTAGTACTCCTTATTAAAAGCAGGAAATAAATCTTTACGGTAAGAAATTGTTTTAATCTTACTTTTCAATTAATTCTTTTAAAAAATAATTTTTATTTTTAAAAATAGTAACCCAGAAGATTTCTTTCTCATACATTGCGTAAATACATACAAATATACAACTTTGTATATTTTATTACATTTCATAACGAAGTTTCATATACTTCATTTTGTATACACACCTATATATATATATATATATATATATAATCAGTGGCGAATCAAGGAGACTAATCCCCGATCGTTCTGATCAGTTCAGTTTCAACAATTTATTTTATTTGATAAAAATTTTCAAGTTTATTTTTTAAAGTTATTTATAGAACACATAAAAGATGGCGTTAAAAAAAATTGACAATGCATCAGTCAGAGATTGAAATTATTTTTCCTATTCTAAATGAGATGGAGTTTATTAAGTTTTATTCAATTAAATTGCAAATTTTTTAAAGCAGCACCTAAAATAGATCTTGTGTGTCATTTGGCTAATATATATGCTTTCAAGGATACTGATAACATTATAAAACATACAGTCACTGATACAGCATGCATTCAAGCTCAAATATTTTATTTGTTTATTGAAATTAAACACAAAAAATCAAAATCAAAATAATTTGAATAATATATATATGTAACATTATTCGAACACCAATCATGTTAAAACAATATAATAAAGAGTTTGGACGCAACACACTAAAAAAGATAGGTATTAAATACTAATTTTTCTGAAATATTTAGACAATAATGTAACTCTAAAACATCTAAATGATATGACAACTATTATAAACACATGCAACATAATCATGAATTACATTCATTCTTAAGAAGAAATTAATAACTGGCTACTACAATGCTAACAAACTGTTTAAATGGAAAATTAAAAAAGTCTCATTCAATTCGGATTTCAAATACGTTTCTCTTAATTTATAACACTAATGACACCATAATTATACTAAATTAAAAAACGTTTTTACGAGCAATTGTAAGAAATTTTATTATTTTTAACAGTCTTTTCATTACTTATGACTTTTTTAACATTTTGTTTGCTTCATAAATTTATTTTCATGGACCTATGAATTATTTTTCAACAAACATGAACATGGCTGACGTTTTATATGTAAACATTCAAAATTTTTATGATGATTTTATTAATGATTTTGTCATAGATGGTGTAATTTAAAAAAATCCATTTTATCAATGAAAAAATATTTTTAGAAAGCAATGGCCGATTTCGTTTTTCAGGTTAACACCGTGACATTTATTTTCAACATTAGTTCCATAATGTAAATAAGATTATCAAGAAAATATGAAACTATTTTATTCGTAATTTAAATAATAATTAATAATTCAATACTAATCTTCATAGCCAGTTAAGATTGTACGTTTTTAAAGTAAGAAGGTTGAGGTTTAATTTTTAAAAATAAAATAATGAAATAATGTCATAAAATGTTGTTGCTTAACATAAGAAGATCTTTAGTTTAACAATCTTATTCATCCGGTAGCCAAATGTTTAAAGGTCAAAAGTTAATAATTCCATTAGGTGAATACTACAACTATAAACTACAGGATGAAAAGTCTCCATCATTTGTGTGACCATCCATCCAACAATTTCAAATGCTAGGATAGAGAATTAATGACGCAGCTTATTAAAAATCTTATTAACCCAATTAGTGATGTGTAGAAAATAATTGAGTTAATCTGTGAAACAAATTTTTGTACAATGAGTACTGTACAACAGTTGCACGTGTCGGTTAATAATTCATTCTATGTAATTAATTTACAATACTAAAGATTTATAGTCAGTGGTGGATTTATAGATATTTGACACTTTTACGCAATAAGATTGACAAAAATGTGGAAGTTTTTGGTCCCCAGCAAATTTAAAATTTTGGCACCCTGTCATCGTTGTCTAGATTCGCTCCTGTTCATAGCACTGTTATTTTTATAATTAGAATGTGTGCGTTGTCAGTGTTGCTTCACGTGTTTTACATGCATTGTGTGTGTGCGTGCGTGTGTGTGTGTGTGTGTGTGTGTGTAGTTTTGTTTTTATCTTTGAGAATTATTTGAGAAAAACTAATAACAATAGATAAAACTAACTTAAAACCTATTTTTAATAGTTAATTTAACTCTTGTCAGATTTTTCGACTGAGATCGGCGTTATTATCTGAGCAGCCAGTCTAAATATTAATATTTAATTTCAATCTTGACAAAACTGATTAATTTCAACTGTATCTTCATCATTTGATATCTAAATAATCCATCAATGAATATGAGGTAAATTGAATGATGAGGTTATTACAATGTGAAAACAGCGGCCATGATGTATGAAAAATTTATTACGTCAAAAGTACTTTTCAAGTTGATTAACAACATTTCAAATATAATCACGCTGATGAGAAAAAATATCACCACCATCATTGCAGGGATATATGATAATCACCAAGAACTAAGTAGAATATATCAAGCGGAAAATTGTCGAATAAAAAGAAGAAACGCAGACAGACATGTAAGCTTCTTAGCTATTGCATCGTGCATTCAAATAATCTCCAACATTTTTGTGTCTCGCAGATGTTTACTTGCAGTGTTTGTGTACTTCTAACAAGAAATTCATTTACTGGCTGGTCAAATTTCTTTTCCATGTTTGTTTATATATACGCATCATTATATAAATGTCTACAAAAGTTATAAATAACAAGTTGTAACAAATTTTTAGTAACTAACAAAGTCGTGGATGAATATTGTTTGATTTGAATAGGTATCGGTATTTGTTAAATTGAATATCAATTACTGATTCGTGTGCATGAAATTCCAAAAGTACGGTGAATTTTATATGAAGCAATGCAGAATAAATCTGAATGGTAAGTTTTTGATGAAGCTGGTTAGAAACACATCAAACTGTGATGTTATCACTGTGATGTTATCACTGTGATGTCAACATTGTCGATGGCTTGAAACTAGTCTCAAAATGATATGAGCATACTTTTAACGACGCTAATGATGATGCTGATGTGAAAAATTGACAGATGTTAGAGTAATTATTTTTGCTGCTAATGTCTGTTACTGTAAATGGTGCAGATGATGTGTGATTATGCAAATGCAAGCAATCTACAGTGCTTTGTCGATGATCAACACATATCAGATCTTAATGATGAATTATGATGGATCAACGGTAGTTAAATTTTTTAAATATACTATTTTAAAAAAATTAAAAAACATTAGCAGATAATTAAAACGATATTAATTATGCTAATAAACGTAATATTTCAAATTACTTTTAATTAAAAAAAAATTTTTTGCTGAGTTTGGTCTTGAACGAGTGTTGGCTATTTGTTTATTATTGCGTGTGTTAGTATTGCTTGTCTTTGTCTCTGCTGTAATAAAAATAATAATATTCCACTTTTTTGCAATGGTGGAATGAATGGACTAATAAACATGCAAAGTTTTAATTAGATTATCCGATTGCTTTTGTTCAAACGGCTGAAAGCACCTATATTTGTTTTATTCCCTTTTCGCTAATTTGAAAAGGTAATTAACCTGGCATTTATTTCTGGCTATAATTATATTTTAATTGCCTTTAGCCCAACTTTTGGTTGAAGAAAGTAGTTCTTCGAATTATTGAGTTACCTCGTTTATTTTTTGTGCTTATTCACTTTATTAAAAGTTTTAAAGGTATCGATTTTTATTGTTCAAGTTCGGCAGTTGCTTTGGGTTTCTATTTTATAAGGACGCATTTCTAAATAATTTTTAACAAAAAAAAACCATACTAAACACTCCAATAGCTTCAATTACGCCTTTATAGCTATAGAAAACAATTAGATAAAATATTTTTGGCCATACTACAAATTATAATTGTTAAGTGAATTTGAGAAGAAATAAAACTTTGAAAACAAAACTATAAATGAAATAAATACAGGGACGCAAAATTTATAAATTTCGATCATGGGGCGCAAATGTGGGATTTGCCGTTGGCGCATTTTATAGTCCCTAAGCAACAACGCAACTTTATGCCAAATAATTTCGTATGCTAAAAAATTGTAAAATTTATTTGGCTGAAGCCGTTCAGCTAGAGATTGATGTGTAATAATTTAATAAATTACTTAACTATTTTTCTTGTTCAACTTATTTTTTTGAGTTCAGTTATTTTGCTAATTAAATTTTTAGATACTCTTCAAATTTACCGCCTATTTGTAATAGGCGGTAAATTTGAAGAATTTGTTAACGTCATCAGTGGGCGCGTCCATGAGGGATGTCTTTATTTTGAAGCCGTTCTGAATCAGGTGTCATTACCTTTGAAGAAGGCAAGTTTATCTACTCTAGAGGTGGTTCACACGAACGAAGAGTAGGTGTACTTTTGAAGAAAGAAATGTCTAAAAATTTAGAATGTTTCTGGGTAGTGTCAGTTTTGTTAGTCAAAATACACGCACAACCTTCCAACCTAGCTGTTATTCAAGTTTATGCGCCAACGTCTGAAGTGAAGAAGACCTTGATGCTTTTTACAGTGATCTTGATGGTGCTTAAAAACATGTAAATCTGTGACTGTCTTTGTTGAGTTTATGTAATTCCTTACAAGTTATTGAAGATTTTAAGTGTTAGCAGCAGTCACAATAAATTGTTTTTTCAGTAATATTTTTTATTTCCATAAATAATAGCATAAACCACGCACGTTTAATTATTAGATGATACAGTTAACCGTTAGCAATGTACTTATTCCATAATGTCTAAATATAATTTTCAATTTAAAAATTGTACATTGAGAAACCTCTTAACAAGTCTATACAAAAAAACGTATTTATTGGTAATTGTGCAACAGTTTTGCTTTTTCCGAATAGTTACAGTTAACTGTTTTTAACGCTGTTTAACAATTTTTCAATTTGAACTGAATTTCATTTAGATCATCAATTTTCTTTCAGATACTAAACACAACCAACAATTGCATGAAAAACAAAAGTTTGTGCTTTCAAAATATTGCCAACAACAACAACAATAACAACTTTAGCAATAACTTCGGCAACATAAACCGGACAAGCAACAGCAGCAATTTCAATTACAACGACTACAATCTGTTAAACGCGTTCGAGTGGCACATAATGCCTGCTGTCAACGCAGACGGGTACGCTTACACCTTCACCAAAACCTCCGTTAGTTTCCAAAATTCATCAGTTTTGATCTTAGGCTGTTTATTCCACGTGTAAAATTTATTAATAAGTTAAATTTCTCCATAAGAATAATGAATGATTATTTATTTATTTGTTAATAAAAAATTACATTGTTGAATATAATTTTATATTCGTTCACATTAACATTAATTTTGTTTACTTCTTTTATAAATTGAAGATTTTAATTCATGAAATATGCCAATCTTTGAGAAAATAATTATTTTTGGTTATAAAAACTGTGAACGTTATTTGTTGTGTCTGAAACTGCTCTGACGTCACATTAGTCGATATGACGTCACATCGACATTCCTGTCGATTTACTTTCTGTTGAGTTGCCGTCATGAGACGCGCAGCAAATGAAATAACACTGTTTTTAGGTAGGAAGAGTAGAAATAGTATGTTGAAAAACATTGAGAAAGAAAAAAGTTAAAAACAAATGTAAATATTTGAGTACAACTTATTGTGGTTGTAAGTTTTTAGCTAAACAAGACTAAAATTATTATAAAGCGGCCTTTTATTCCATATCATGTTACACTTTCTCCTGACATTTGCGATTTTATTTCACGTAGGCCAGGCTCTGGCGGAAAAATCGAGGCAGGCAGGATGGGTTGAGGTACAGTGCCAAGCACAACATGTGGTGCCAGGGAGCTGACATCAACAGAAATTTCGATTTCATGTGGTCCAATTCCACTCCTCATAGCGGAGGTCAATACCAAACTTTAATTTTTGTTTTTCATTTTTATTAATATTTTCAAAAAATAAACTTTTCATTATTATTGTAACAATATTGATTGGCGGAATAGGTCACCACTGTGTGATGTAGATTCAAAACTGCCAAACAAATATATTCCAGTGAATATATAATATTATGGTTTTAAAAATTCTCGTTCCATTTTCAATGAAAACATACCTCGTGTTTAATATTTTTATGATTGCATGTCAAGTGATTCATAATAAGTACTAGTTCAATTTTTTCTTGTGATCTTCGATATTCTTTTTTAAAATGAGGCACGCTTTGAATGGAGCTTTTGGCAGTATTGAATTTAATTTTGTTGAGTCGGTGCGCTTTTTGGATTCAAATTGGCTCATTTAAACGAGTTTTTAATGGGTTTTTATTATTAAAAAAATAAATTTTTTGAGAATTATGCATGCTGAAAACCGAACGAATTTGAGTTGTTCGAGTGAGTCGCTGATGCTTTCACTAACGTTAGCTTAGCACACGACCGTCCTTTCATCATTTTTAAATAATGTTTTTAAAAAGGTTGATGGTGATAATTGCGGTTATAATGGTGATGATGAATATGTCTATGAAAAGAATGATGATGATAATGTTGTTGATTATGATGATGATTATGAAAAAATTGTTTGGCGATACAGTTAACTATAAAATGTTAGAAAAATCACAAAGAAGCTTTAGTAACATTCCACAACAACAACTGTATCGTTTTAACATTTTTTTTTTGCAATGAATAACTACAAAAAACAATAAAAACATTATTTATTGCACTGCTACCCAAACCAAACCAAAAGTCTGTTCATAATTGCACTTTAAAGATTATGCGCTAGATCAGGGGTGGAAAAACTTTGGCCCACGGGTCGCGAGGTCTTATTCGCCAAAAACATGTCGTCACAAATCTTAAAAAATTCCCCCCCGGGTCGAAAATATTTGCTATTTAAAAACTGCGGCCCTTCAAAGGTAAAATAGTTCTAAATAGTCCTCACAGCAGAAAGTTTGCCCACCCATGCGCTAAAATGAACGTTTGCTGGAGATGAATGTTTTAGCCTAACCTGATAGCCGAATAACCTAAAAAAAAATGCACTTAGCCGCTGTGACAATGTAATTTGTGAAATAAACCATTTTAAATCACTTAACTTAGCATTTAAAAATTTAAAACTTTAAGAGTTGTGATAAGATTGGTTTGAATGTTAGCAAAGATGATGATGATAACGATGATGATGATGAGGAGGAGGAGGAGGATGATGACTAGCACAGTAGTAGTAGCAATAGTAATACAACTAATTGTATTACTAACTAGTTGTAGAAGTAATAGCATGGCAGTACTAACATTGTTTGTTTTAATTTTTTAAATTTTTTCTTTGAAGATAAAAAAAAGATTAAAATATTACAGAAAAAATGTTGAAGAATTATCACGTTGGGCATGCCATCCAAACAAAACAACATTAATCATTTATAATTTTTTTAAGAGTATTACAACAACGTAGCGACAAGGAAGTTTTTAAAGATATTATTCGCTCAACAAAAGTTTCAAGCAAATTCACAATAAAAAAAATCATATGTGATTTTTTAAAAAACTATAACTTATTACATTAAAACATTTTCAAAGTGCAAAACTAAAAAAATAAATTAAAAATTTGTGTTTTTTTTTCGGGAAATTATCAATTGAACATTTTCTGCAAAGCAAATGAATAATAACGCACGTCTTAATCCTGATAAATAAAAAAAATACAACTTGACTGATTACTGCTGCGTTTGAACAGCTGATAAAAAATAAACTCGTCTGGAATTATGCTAAAGGTAATTTATAAAATGATGGAGCTACAAATAAAAACTGCACCGTTGCTTCGTTCTTTTCATCAGTACATAAATTACTGGCTCACACCAGAAGTGCAAGGTTTTCAAGTTTGGGCATAAGATGTGTTGTCATGTGTTGCTGAAGATGTTTAGCACGTGCCATCAGCGAAACATTATTTTCATTATTTATGTAAATGCGATAGTGTGTGTTCATCATTTTTCAGGATTATGATCATATTTAATGAAAAAAATGTCATGGCTTAAGTCTGTAGATTAGAAAATGTTTTCGACCAACTAGTTCCATTCACATTAAAATGTTATTCAGAACAGGATAAAAGAATATTCAAAAAAAATGGTTCATTCAAGTTATAAATGTTATCTACTGGTGATGTAAATATTTATTTTACGAAATATCAATCGATCAATCAACCAACCAATCAATTCATCTACCAACCAATCAATCAATCAATCAACCAATCAATCAACCAATCAATCCACCAACCAACCAATCAATCAACCAATTTATCTATCAATCAACCAACCAATCCATCAACCAACCAATCAATCAATCAATCCTTCAATCAATGTAATTAATAAACATTCGATTTCATGTATGTGACTCATACAGAATCCTCGCTTAATTAATCACCCAATCCATAATAAAACTTTTTAATTTCCAAACTGTTGTTTAATTATTTTTTAAATCTAAAAATAAAACTTTGAAATGACCGACTGTACATAAGTCTTATGAGCTGAAAGTTGCAACAACGATAGATTTTATAATTTTTAATTTTAGTTCTAAACAATTGGAAGTTAAATTTAAAATAAAATGAAATAGTTTTTAATTGTCAAATAAATAACTAAACTACAAATTGTTAATTAACTTGTCGAAAAAACTGGACATTTATAAAATTTTATTCGAAATCAAACAATTATTGAGACAATCTCAAAACAAACTACAAAGCAAAACAATCATTCAACCACTCAACTAGTTGAATTGAAAAATTATTTTTTTTTAACAATTAACAAGTAACAATTTGCGGTTATATTGATTTAAATGTTTGTATTCAATTATTCTAAATAATTAATTGTCCAACCAAACAACCAGTTAACTAATCAACCAATCATTCAACTTTTTAACCAACCAATTAACTAACCAATCTGCTAACCAACCGACCAATCAACTAACAAATAAATTTATTAACTATTCATTCAATCAATCAACTAACCAACCAGATCTAACCTCCATCGACCCTTGCGAAGAAACTTTCAAAGGACCACATGCAGCCAGTGAAAACGAAACAATGGCACTTCAATCCTATTGGTTGAGACATGCTGACGTCATTGGAGGCTATGTGACGTTGCATAGTTTTGGTCAGCAGATAATGAACAGATGGTCATACGCCTTCATCAATGATACTGATTACTACAAAACGGTTTGATTGATTGCTTCCATCTATACATAGATGATTACCCTGTTGCCCCGATACATAATTGTTTTTGTAGCGTTTGTTTTTGTTTCATTATTTTGCTTGTTATTTTACATTTTCATTATTTTTTTTATTTGGTAAATATATTTTTACTGGGATGTATTATTTTATATCAAGTCTTGAGTTATTGTTACTTCTATAGTTATATACATAATTCATGTTAGTGTTGTTATATTTTCATAATATTTTGGTGTTGCATCAATCATTGTTACAAGTTTGTGGAGGTTCTTATTGTTATCTAGTTTTGAGTTGAGTTTCAACAAGTGTTCTAGTGCGATAAATAAATATTGACCAAATTAATTTTCAAGGGTGCTTAATAAAAAATTTTATGGGCGTCTGCTGATTAGCTGGCTTCATTTCAATTGCTGTTTGCTAACATAGAGATTCATTAAACCAGATAGTAAAATTTTTGATTGTTTTTTTAAGTTATTTGATTAAATTTATTTTCAACTTTGCTGAAAATAACAAAATAACAGTTTCGGCGTCTGTCAAATTTTGTTTTTTAAAGTGTAATGAAAATAAAAGCGTGTTAATTGAATTTATTGTTGTTGAAACCTCTGAGAAAATAACCATAACCTTTTATTTTTCTTCAAAATACTGATCAAGAATTTAGTGCGATATTCTAGTTGTTGCTGGTGATTTTGTTGCAATTACACATTAGTTTATATTGTTTTTATTTATTTAGTTTTAGTTAATGTTGTTGTTTCATCTCAGATTGGTTGCGCTTATATGTTAGTTAATGTTGTTGTTGCTTAGACTGGTTGCGGTTATATGCCACTTATTTTTCGCTCATTTTCTATGCGGTAGCGAAAGAAGCGTTTCCTGTTAATTAAAAATTTAATTAAATTTACACGCATGCAAACATTCACAGAGGCCTGCGATAAAGGGAGCTGCGGAAGAAATTAGGATGTTCAACGGAGAGGAGTATGCCTATGGAGCTGTCTCGGAGATATTGTGTGAGTCCTGTTTGAGGTGGCAATGTGGTTATATCAGAGGTGATGATGTTGTGGTGATGATGATGATAATGAGAATGATGATGATGAATATGACAACGACGACGATGATGATGATGAAGATGTTGATTATGGTTATGATGATTATGACGATTGTGATTACGATGATGACACGTTTGCGTCAGGTAATGATGATACGTAGATACGCGAGCTAAATATCATAGCGATAGAGTACTTACAAAAACAACGTTTGAAACAAAAGCGATAAAAATGTTAAATATTTAAAATCAGGTGGACAACAAATTTAGCATATGAAATTCTAATAATTTTTTTGATTTTAATTTCTTTATTTTTTTATTTCTAATAATTACAACGAAAAATATTAAAAGTATCTTAAATTTTAATAATTACAACGTGGAGAAAGATTAAACGTTTAATAGCGTACCATTGACTGCGATGTTGTTACGGTTCTGAATGAGCGGAAGAATATTTTTTTAAATGAAAAACGTTTAAAAAAATTAATATTTGACTCACGTATTGTTTGTTGATTTGATCATGTCCCAGTAAATATGCTTCTCAATCTCTCGTTATTACATTAATAATAGTAGTCATAGTAGCAAAAATATTGTATCAACTGATAGCTGAGACAATCAGAATGAAAATAATAGGCAATCAAATTTTGTTCTGCAAATCTTCTTAACTCATTTCCAATCTATTTTCACTTAAATTCCTTTGATGTTCAATTTGCTATGTCTCAAATTTGAAAACGCAATTCTTTGTCGGAAATATAGAATCAAGGCTGATCAATGATAGATGCGTTTTAAAAATTGGAAAATTAAAAATGATTGAAGTGTTTTCGAAAAAGATATAATGAGACAAATAAAATAATTTTTTTTCAAAACTTATTATAATGGAAATTATTTTAAATAATCAAAATTTTTGAATTAAGTTTTTTCCCAAAAAAAATTACTTTAAAACTTCATTTGAATCATTTTTTCATCGTCATCTTTGATAATAACTTTGCTAATTGAAAAAAAGTGACTGCGTGTACGAGTAGAAGATAATAATCCTCATGAAAGATTTGAAGGTGACTTCACGATGGTGGAGTTGCTAATACAGTGATGAAGAAGAGGATGATGACGATGATGAATATGTTGATAATGAAGAAGAAAAAGATGATGATGATGAAGAAGAAGAAAAAAATGGTGATGATGATGATGATGACGATAAACATGATGATGAAGAAGAAGAAGAAAAAGATGATGATGATGATGATGATGATGATGATAATGATGATGATGATAATGAAAGTGAAAATGATTGACAAGTTTTGAAGATTTGGTTATTGATGGAACATTTCTCATTTGGGCATTCGGCGTGAGTTGAATAATGAGTAAAAAATATATATATATATCAAAAGTCGTCAGCCAAATATGTGCGTGTCTGTATATGTGTGTTTGTGTGTATGTGTGTTTGTGTGTGTGCGTGTGTATGTTAATGTATAAATATAAAAATAAATGTAAATGTATGTTTGTGTTTGTCGTTCGTTTATTCGTTCATTTCTTTCTTGTCTGATTATTATTATCAACTCGTCAACTTCGTTCGTCTTCGGTTGCATCAATCTGTCAGTATTTCATCAGTTGTTAACAAATGTTTTACGTACAGCTCTAATTCCATGTGGAATGGTGTGCCTGCCATTATTCGCCAACAGCCAACCATTAAACTTTTTAGGAAACGATTAAAGAACTTTTTGTTTATCCAGGCCTACGTAAACGTTAAAAGTCATTGTTTATCCAAGCACCCCTGAAGCTATGCATAGGACGCCATATAAATTAATAATAATGATAATTATTATTATTATTATTATTACAAACTCAAAAACTTATAAAAAGGTTATTTTGAAACTTTTGCAAAAAAATTTTAGACATAGGGTTATGTTTTCAGGCTTTCAAAACTATTGAGTTGGATCGTGAACATATTTTTTATAAAAAAGCAGCCCTCTTATAATTTATTTAATGTTCGCAAACAACTTTCAAGAGAACCACTTATCTCATAGTGTGGCTTCAAAAAAGATTAATGAAAATGGTGCAGTATTTGTTGTTCAAGACATCAAGACGCTGATTAGTATTAATTGTTCTAAAATTTAAAAAATTCATTGAAAATAGTTTTTCCTCTATTCTACGAATGATTAAAACGAAGCAACAAAAGGACTAAATTCAATCTTGTCGGTAATTCAGCCGGGTTTTCTTCAATGTCGATCCGGAACGGAAGCAAAAACTTGAAAAATTAGTAGAAAATAAGTACATAAAAACTTCCTGAGTTTTCAGGAATTGCCGATACTCCCGTATCGGTCATATCCAAATATTAAAAATTGGGACATCGAAAAACATTATGAAAGTTATCGGGACCTGGAAATACCTTCCACACAAGGAAAAACTGTTTAAAGATCTATCCGGATATTAAGGAACTTTTGGGAAAGTTTACGTAAAAATCTAATGCTAATGATCAATATTGGCACTAAAAATATAATAACTCATGATGCCGGAATTGGAACACTTACGGGATTGCAGGGTTTGGGGAAATCCACGTTCAACATGAATGCATGCTGAAGTAAAAACAGTTGGGGCCGACTACACGGGTGTAGACAGTGTAGAAAGAAGTCTTTGTGTATGGGAAGTAATTCGAAGCTAAATGAGAAACCGTAAATTTGCAGTGTCAACAGAATCAACTTTTTTGTTAATCAAAAATGCAATGTTAATGAAAAAATAATAATGGAAAGACAAAGACTTGATGATGATGATGATGATGGTGGAGGAAATGATGATGATGATGATGGTGGAGGAAATGATGATGATGATGATGGTGGAGGAAATGATGATGATGATGGTGGAGGAAATGATGATGATGATGGTGGTGGAGGAAATGATGATGATGATGATAATTATTATTATTATTATTATTACAACAATAAAAATGATGATGATGGTGGTGATTGATGATGGTGATGAATGTTTTTTTGATGATTACGATATGGGATGCTAAAAATATATAAAATGATTCTAAGAGCAAAATTATGATGATAAAATAAAAATGAACAAAAATCTTTCAATTTTATTGGCTGTCAAAAGTGCAATGATAATAATAATAATGGTGCCTATGTTGATCATAATGAACATGGCATAGTAGATAGAGAGGTATCGATGGTGTTTTTGAAATTATGAATTATTCATGAATGAGACGGTAATAAAAAACGAAGCAAGTTTAACAAAAATGATTAGTGGTTATGGTAATAATCACACCATAAAAATGACGATGATGATAATGATGATTATTGTGATGATGATGATGATGATGATGATTATGATGATGATGATGATGATGATGATGATGATGATGATGATGATTATGATGATTATGATGATAATGATGATGATAACGACGACGACGATGATGATGAGGATGATGATGACATGACAATAAAAATGACAGTGATACAATTTTATAATGCATGGATGCGATTAGTTTTAACCAGACTTACATGACAGTTGGCTTTCTAAACATTTTCCAAATTGTTACATTATTGTCACAGCAGTTGTTATAATTTGAGTTTTTGTGGTACACATTGTGCCGTCAGCTGGTTCAAATACAAAAGCATTCCAATTCAAATGAACAACTTATTTCATGAATGAACGATTCTATAATATTCTATTATTTCACTTTCTCTTATATATTCTAGTTAAAACCCAAACATTTTCCATGTTTAAAATATAATGAATGTAAAAAAAACAAATTAAAAAATGCATTTAATTCATTTGAAAATAAGGGTGAACTTTCTAACTTTAAAATCACATAAAACGCTGTAACCGGGATTATGACGGAAACATGAGAGTTCTTTTTAAAATAGAAAGAGTAACAATTAAAATTATCGAGAAGATTTAATTTGATTTCATCAGATCTGAACATTGAAAATTTAGATTGAGCTGATTGCACTTCAGACGGAAGTTCATTGTTTGCTCTCCATCCAGAAGCCAAACTCGTAGCATGGGACAGGCATAAAAAAGTGCATTTCAACATACATTTTGTACACATGTGTGTTCGTGCATATCTATTGTGTAACTAAGCGATTGAAAAGTCTTCATTGAATAACTAACTCAAGAGCAAATTTATTACATAACTCGTGTGTCTATGTTTGGCTAGTTCAAAAAACTTGTGGGGCAAATTAATTATTTTTAAAATAAAAAAAAATTGTACATATTTTGACATGTCTATTTATTCGTTTTATGTCCTATTAAACCGGTCAAACATTTATACCTTCTCAAGTCCGTGTATATTCATTTTAATTAGGACGTTTTTTTGAAATATTAATTATCGATGTCGACAATAGATTTAAGTTTAATAAATTTATTTATTGAACCTTTGTGTGTCAAGTTGTAGGACTGCTTGAAGTTGTATTAATGATAAATTTTAAAGCAAGAAAGACAACTTTAATGGTTTAAGTTGAAAAGATATAAAGATATAATTAAGTATGTAAATAACACTATATGTATGTTTAAAGTAAACTAGTTTGAATTTTGATAAAAAGAATAATGCTCATTTTTAAGAAATAGTAATTATAGGAAGAGTATGATGGGCCTTTCACCTTTATAACCTTTTTTAATTTCATGATCTTTTAATGTAAAATTTTAACGTATGATAAATTTTCTCAGCAGTAGCAACCCTAATTTTGAACGGACGTATTTTAATAACAACTGTGATTGTCAACGCAAGTTAAAGTTAAACCGTGATGATGAAATGATGTTTATTTTACATTTTGATGACGACGATAATGACGATGATGATGATAATGATAATGACGTCGACAATGATGATGATAACAATGATAATAATGATGATGACGAAGACGACGACGATGATGACAGTAACAATGAAGATAATGATGATAGTGAATGTTTAGAATGGAGATATTGATGAATTTTTGATTTGTTTTCAATGAAATGTTTGTT